CACCATGACCTGTCCAGTTAGAAATAGATAATCAGATCACCGTATGAGGTTACTGTCCATAGAAGAATCCCTTTTTTTCTCTCCACAAGCGACATCAGCCTACAAGGGGACTGGTGAGCAACTGCGCAGCGCTTCAAGGCTTCGTGATGTGGTCGTGGCAGTGCCTCAGGCGTAAGGTTGCCAGGTTTAGCAAATACTTGGGACATACTTATACCAAAAAATGATTCCTCAATTATCTGAAAATCAAATTTCATTAGGCGTCCAATGCTTTATCTGGTGACTCTACTTCAGTGCTCTGGGTGACCTGGCCTGCCCCAGCATGCCCACCTTTGGCGGGATGGCCAAGAAAGAGGCTGAGATGGTGTGTGGCTGTGACAGGACATCAGTGTGACGGTGTGTGTTGGCTGTGACAGAGTCACCAAGAAGAGTGAGGATGTGTGCCTGACAGTGTGCCTCTCTATAACTCCCGCAAGCTCTAGCAGCTGCCTCAGGGCAGGGTTTGGGTTATTTGCCAACTGGGAGGCCCAGCAGAGGTGGGAGACCCGCCCTGGGCAAACACTTAGATCCGGCTCTGGAAGGGACTAGGATGCAGAGCCTACTGTCACCGGCCATCAGATTGTAAAGGACGTGTCCTTCTCATGGCCCAGCCAGCCCTGGGCCTCAGGGTGCTCTGCCCTGGGCCTTTCCCAGTGGCTTCTAGAAAGCTCCACTCTGCTCTGCTACTTCCTGGTGACATCACACAGGCCACTGCCCAATCTTCTAGAACAGTGCCCTCAGGACACTGCCTTGTTGCTCTAGGCAACCTGGAAATTTTCTCCACACAAACTGGCAGGGGCTACCCCTGAGGAGGGGGTGGGAGGAGAAGGAGTACCAGCAAGGGACTTCTCCTCATCTCCCAGAGGGGAAATGGAGGCAGCCATCCACCCATCTGACTAGATGGTGAGTAGGAAGGGGTACTCAGGAGCAAGTCAATACTTGGGACACTGGGCAGGGTGGGGGCCCTCAGAAGGGGCTGAATCTTGAGGCAAAGACAGGGTGATGACTGTGTCAAGGTCACCCCCAGGGTAACAAAAAAGGCGTCATGTAATGAGGAGCAGGAACAGAGCCTTGGGTTAAGAGCTGGGAGACCTAGATTCTTATCTCTGCTTTGTCCCTGCTGCTCGAGTCTTTGTTTCTCTATCTGTGCAGTGAGGGGCTGGAGTCAAAAGGCAGTAGTCTGCAAGTTTTAGTTCTGATGGGGACCCAGTGGAGAGAGTTGAACAGACTGTTAGGAACCAGGCCGCAGCTGGCTCCAGACGGGTGCTCTGCTCCTGCTCTGCTGGCTTTCAGGGAGCAGTGAGCAGAGAGTCTGGTGTGACTCTCTCCAGATGAGTCCCCGACCCCATTCCAGGAGTCACAGACCTGGGGTGCCAGAGGTCCCCATATAGGCTCTGACTTGCTGTGTGATTCAGGAGTGTCCCTGTGCCTCCGGGGGCCTCCGGTGCTCTCTCTGTGAGGGGCACATGTAAGAACCAGTGCTTGCTCAGAGCCCTGGGTGATAATTCCTCACCTTCTCCTGCCACCTCTCAGTTTGCTAAGCACCTTCTCCTTCTGGAACACACTCCTGCCTTCCACACCCACTCTGACTCCTGCTTGGTGATGCCCATTGTGGGCCTGGGACCCAGACAAGAGAGAGACCTGGGCCCAGTCCTGGGGGTCCAGAGAGGCACCCTCCATCCACTTCCTGAGGAGGGGGCCAGTGCCTGGGACAGGGGGCTGCGGGGGCAAAGCAGGCTCACACTTTGCCAACTGTTTCCACAGTTTATTTAATTTTTCATGAGCATCTTAACAACCATCATATCAAGATGCTGTTACCTTAACACTTCCTGTTAAAAACATGTCATTTTGGGATAGTTTATTTCTCCCTCCTGCCCCCCCTCCAGTTATATTTCTGACTACTTATTTGGGGGTGAAACTGACCCACTACAACTCTTTCCATTGCAGTCATTCTTAGAGAAGTAGGTATTATTATTCTAGAGGCTCCGAGAGGACATGCCGCCTGCCCTTGGTCACACAACTAGGAAATGGTATAGTCAGGATTTGAATCCAGGTCCACAGGCCCCTTGCACTGCCAGATGAAGGGAGGCAGAGGTGGCTGAGTCCTAGGACCCCTTTTCCGGCTCCTTCCCCAGGCTCCCCTTCCCAGCCTTCCTGGGTTTGATCTTCTACCCTCATGCAGATGGGACCCTTTTAGATGCTTGGGAGGAGTTGAGACAGGATACAAATCTGTTTTGATCCTGGCATGTCTGGGAAGCTGTCCGCAACTCCTGAGCCAGAGACACCTAGCTTCCTGGTAGGGGGTGCTTGCAAAAGCAAAGTAACTACAAGTAGGATAGGGAGTGATGCCCCTCTGTCCACCCACTGGCCAGTTAGCATGGCCTGAACCTAGGACCCCCGGCTGAGCCCAAGGCATGGCCATCTAAGCCCAGGGGTACCAGGCCACCCACCATTTCTGACCCAGGACCGAAAACCTTCAATCCTGGTTAACCTACATCAGGATCTGAGTGGTGGTTTGGTTTCTGCCATCTGTATTTCCCCGAGTGTCTGCCTGAGGCTGGCAGCTCTCTAGGGGTGGGGAAATGCTTCTGTCAGTCTGTGCTCATTGCTACCTCTTGCTGCCACCCCAGCCTTATCTCTCTTACCCTGGACTGGGTGATAAGCCTGAAAGGTTTCTTACTCTGGTTCCTGTTGACAGCTAAAATGTGTGTTATTGGGGCCTCAAGAAGGCAGGAGCCACCAGGCCAGTGCTCCCCTCTCTTTCCCTCAAGTCAGATCCCAGAGGCTCCCACAAAGCAGGCTCTGCGTATGTCTCTTTGTACCTCCCACAAACCTGAGTGTGAAGCTGTCAGACAAAACCGCTGAGGCCAGGGGAGGGGCAGTGACCTGCCTAGAGCTGGGGTGGAGGCGGAGGAGGTGCACAGTGAGAGCCAGACCCTTGGCCTCCTGAGCCCAGAGCCAACACACCGGCCACCCACTTCCTGGCACGGAAAGACTAGTTTAGGAGAGACAGGGTGATTACCTGACTACACTCCCCAGACTGCAGATCTACGGTCTCTGTGGGGACCTGAAACACATTTTACAAGATTTACTTTACAGAATGACCCTTGGAGTCGCTTGCCATCAGGTCCCCGCTCACCACCACCACTTTTGAAACATTTCAAATCCCTAAGCACTTCAGGAAGAAAAGCCTGTATTTGCGAACCCATCGAATCCACTGTGACAACTCCTCATCTTTGTCTAGAGACTTTAGGAGAAGTTGTTCTATCTAGGATGGTGAGGCTAGGAGGTTATACATTCTGATTCCCTCCTTTTACACATGGGAAACTAACGACCAAGCAGATAGGCAGGCAGAGCAGAGCAAAGAACCCTATGATGGCAGGAGGCTGAGACCTGGGTTCTGGGTTCTGGATGCCAAAGTAGGATGTACTCGCTGTGTGACGCTGGGCAAATGTTGGGCACTTGTTGGGCCCCATTAGCTGCCCGTCCACTCTGGTCAAGGGACAGCCCCTGGGGTCAGTGAATGATCGGCCTTGGGCCCTCTGCCACACCGGCCAGGCCTCAGAGAAGTTGAATTACTGGCTTCAGTTCACACAGAGCAGTGGGAGGCAGAGCTGGCACTAGGACCCAGAGGGCAGGTGGCAGCCTCCCAGGCTGGAAGGGGTGGCTGGAGGGCTGGTGGACATATCTCCCCGTGGCTATGGAGCACGGCCAGCTCTGCCTAGCAAGGGACAGGGAGCCCCAGTGCTCTGGAGCCAGATGCTTTTGAGAGCCTAGTCTAGTCCACAGGAGGTGTGTAGAGACACACATGGGTACTGAGGAGGGGTGGTGGTGGACAAGGGCCAGAGGGGAGCCTTGTTAAAGCTCCCAGCTGGGAGTGGAGATTTTGCCCAAGTCTGGCCAGCCTGTGACCCTTGCGGCTAGTGGTTGGTCAGGGATGTAAGCTGTGGGCATCTCTGAGCCGCTCTTGATTGTGGTGAGGTGTGTGCGCGCATCTTTGGGTCTCTGGGGTGTCGTTTCGGGGGGGGGGGGGGGGGTCTCTGTGTTCTGGAGTCCGCGTGCCTGTGTGTAAGTAGGTTGTTGCGGAGTTGTGCACCTGTGAGTATGGGAGGAGGGTGGAGAGAAGGGGTTCACAATTACCTCCCAGAATCTCTATTCTCGCACCTCCCCGCCCCTCCTCTCAGAGCCCACTCTATCTCGGCCCCTCTCCGCCCTGTCCGCCCAACCTGAGAACGGGTCCTCGCCGGGTCAGGTCCCCTCCCGGAGGGCGGGGAGGGCGCTAGGACCCTGCGGGGCGGGGCGGGGCGGGGCTCCGAGCTCCGACCGCTATACCTCCGCAGCCTGGAAAATACCGAGCTCAGGCGAGCGGTGGCCCCGAGCCCCCAGCCCCCGAGCCTGGCCCGGAGGGAGGGAGGGGGCGCGCGGGGCGGGGGGCGCGGGGCGGGCCGAGCCGGGGGAACCCACTGCTCTTCCCCCCAGAGCCCCTGCGCGGCCCCGGTCGCCGGGACAGCGGCAGCGCGGCGGCGGCGCTCGCACCCCGGCCCCGGCGGCCCCGGCGGAGCGGCGGGCACAGGTGAGCTGCCGGCCGGCGAGCGTCCCCCCGGCCGGCACCCCGCCCCGCGCGCTTCCCGCGCCGGCGCCGCTGCCCGAGTGAGTTGAGGGGATCCGGCCAGCGCTGCGCGGACACCGCCGGACCGGCCGTCACCGCGGTCCCGGCCTCCCCCGGGACCCGACCCGACGGGCTCTCGCAGCCCCCGTCCCCTCCCCCGACCCGCAGCCCCCACTCCAGCCCCAGGGAGGGCTGGGGTCGCTCCTTGGGGATGCGCCCCGTGCCTGCTCTACGCCGCTGCGCCCTCTCCAGGGGCCAGCCCCTGCTTATCTCGAACTCCCCGCCACCCCGGACCCCGGACAGCCCCACCCGCGCCCCCAGCGCACTGACTCCGGTCCCCAAACCGGTCTTGCAGGTCCCAGGAAGGTGGCGTCAGCATCTGCAGCCGCGTCGACGTAGTTGGAACCTCCGCGGAGGACCCAGGGGAGCCGGACGAGCACCAGGGCCCCGGGTTTCTCCATGGAGAAGTCGGCGGCCTCCACGGAGCCCCAGGGGCCTCGGCCGGTCCTGGGCCGCGACAGCGTCCAGGTGCCCGACGACCAGGACTTCCGCAGCTTCCGGTCAGAGTGCGAGGCCGAGGCGGGCTGGAACCTGACCTACAGCAAGGCCGGAGTGTCTGTGTGGGTGCAGGCTGTGGAGGTGGATCGGACCCTGCACAAGATCAAGGTAGGGCCGCGCTGCTGCACGTGCAGCCTCCCCACCTCCGACAGGGAGCCTGCTGGTCCTCCCTCCGAGCCGCGGACACCTGGCTGTGCGTTTCAGAAAGCGTCTCTTGCCAGGGACCAGGAGGCGGCACAGTTTGTTCTGCAAGCCCCCATCACACAGATGGGCCAACTGAGGCCAGGAAAAGGGGTGTGACTGGCTCCCCGAGCCAGAAGCCAGGCGTCCGCATGCCCCTGCCTCATCCAGGCCGGCGGGGCTGCTGCCAGGCCCAGCTAGGAGAGTGGACTCCCTCAGGGACCCCTCTGCCCCCACTAACCTTCACCTGAGTCGTTCACGGTGGGAGACTGAGCCCGGATCTCCCAGGTTTTCTCAGTCCGAGCTGCATCTCTTTCCCTGCTCTCTGCACACTTGGGTGCCGAAGGCCTGATTCCTTCTTGCCCGGTGTCCTGCTCGTCCCCCTTCCCCTCCTGTCTGCTCCCTGGGTCTCCTCTAGGGGCTCAGGGTTGTGGCTGGCAGATCCTGAGGGCAAGGCTTGGATGTCCCAGCTTTACTCAGGGCCAGGCTGGGGGTGAGTGGGGGGAGGAGGGGCCCAAGGCAGGCAAGAAGAGGCAGGGCAGGTCAGCCCCTTCCCAGCCACCGACCGGTTTCCCAGAGCCCCATGGTTTTTCTCTCTGTGCCTCATCAGGACGGCCTTAGAGTGTGGAACCCCATGGGCCCCCCTCTCTGAGGGGCCTAGACAGGGCCAGAGGCTGGTGAAGACTCTGCTCTAGAGGCATCGGTGGCTGCCCGTAGCACATCTGGCCTTGTGTGAGTGCCACATTTCGAGGGGGGTAGGTCTCCCTTCAGTGGGCTCCTGGCAGTAGGTTGTGCCCTTTACGTCCCTTCCCTTTCCCTTGCCTCTTCCTTTCTGTGTCCTTCTGGAACTGTGAAGTGTGTATTCCTGCTGCAAAGGATGGTGGGTCAGGGCACTAGACTCAGACCTCCTGCCCTTCCCGCACTTCAGCCCCTCCTGCCTGGGCCCTCCTCTCAGACTTAGCTCAGGCATCTTGGTCTCACACCCAGAGACGTCTGACCTTTCTTTGTCTCTGACCTTGTGCCATTCTGATTCCCTTTCTCTTAGTCATTTACAGCTTCGTCCATCTGTCCCCATGTGGCCCTCTGGCTCATCCTTTCTGCCTTTCCGTCTCCCTTCTATTACTCTGCAATCTGCTTTTCCCTCTGGGACTTTTTGTCCAGGCCTGAGGACCATGCGCTTGGGGCTTCCCTGGGGGCCTGACCTGTGTCTGGGCCTGAGGCAGGGAAGGGGAGGGCAGCTGGTATGTCCCAGCTTGGTACTCACTGAAGACAAGAGATAGGTCCTCTCCCAGTTTGTGTCTCCTGCACTCAACACAGACAGAGCAGGGATGTTGGTTGAAGCGTGGAGTGAAGGAAGGGAGGATCAAATTTAACAACTGAACGAAAGGTGAACAAGGTTGTTGGGAGAATAAGGTTGTTATCCTGACCGTGACCTGGGAAAGGCTTAAGGATGGCGGCACAGTGAAGTGGGGAAGTGTGGTTTCCCCTCTGAGCTGGCTCTCCAGAAGGGAGGGAAGGGGAAGACCTGAACTGAGCCTAGTACTCCCACCCTATGTCAACAGGGTAGAGCTTCCTCCTCCATCTGGCTTGGTTAATGAATAAACCAGCCCACGTCCGGACGGGAGTCGATGGGTCTGGGGACCAGACTGCCACAACAGATCAGACATGTCCGATAGCCCTCCTTGGGAGCGGAGGGAGTTTTCAGAAAAACTGGGGTGTTGTGGGCTTATGGTTAGGGCATACACCCTCCCTGGCAGCCAGGACCCTGATCCTTCTTCCCTCCCAGACTGAGCAGAGACTGGAGGTGCCAAAGGGTCCTTGGCAGTCCCCTGTTTTATACTCCCCGCTCACTGGGGTGCAAGTGAGGACACTGAGGCCCAGAGAGGGACAGGAGCCAGCCCAGGGTCATATAGCCAAGTTCCAGCAGAGCTGGGCTTGCAACCCAGATATCTAGTCTCTCAGCTTAGCCCTCTGTCTTATTTTTCTCCCAATTGCTACCCTCCAGGTCTGCTTCCCCCAGTGGAGTGAGGGTTGGGGACTGTATGTTGAGCAGAGCTGGAGCCTAGGGAGGAGGCTGGGGCCTTGATTATGGGCCTCCTGTACCCCGCTCCTGAGACCCTCGGCACAGTCAGGCGGAGCTCTGGGAGATGGGCACAGGTCCCTGAGCTGCCTACCCCCAACGTTTCAGGAATGCCATTTCTAAGGCCCCCTGCTTTGAGCCAGGCATTTTTCTCCATCATCTAATTTACCCGCAGTTTAGTCTTGGGCAGTGGTAGGCTTGTTTCCATACTACAAAGAAAGGAACTGGGGCTGAGGACTATGATGACATTTACCTAGGGCTACAGGGCAGCTGTGTAGAACCCAGACCAGCCTGGCTCCAGAACCTCTGCTCCTCTCCACTTGGGCTCACGTCTTAATCAACATTACAGCATTTGACCCCATCAATAACTGAGGGACACAGTGTTCTCATCATCCCATTCTCCTTTGATAAATGAGAAAGCTGAGGCACAGAAAGGGGCGTGGTTTGCCAAGGTCACACAACAGGTCTGAAGCCAAAGTCCCAATGATGATTGGGTCACTCCTGGAGGCTGGAACTCAATCACAGGTGTTTGTGGAGCTTCTACCCACTGCCCAGCTCCTGCCCCAGCCTTCTAGGCCCGCCCCCTGAGCGGGAAAGCCAGCTGCCCCCTGGACGCGCCCTGTGCTTATGATCACAGGGTTGGGGCGTGGATCCGGATCCGCCTATCTATCTACCTGATTGATTTTCTCCACGTTATCTCCCTTCCCCCCGACTTATCTTCTCCTTCCCCTGTGTCCAGAGGTCCCAGGAAGCCACTGTGGCACCGGGCCTGGAATTCGGTGCCAGGAAAACGGAAAGGGGCTGCTGGAGGCCCTTTCCCTCCCCCCTGGCCACCAGCCCAGCCTGGCCCAAGGCCTGTGCTGTGCTCTGGGCACTGGAGAGGAGGCACACAGCACCTCCTGAGAGGTCAGGCCCTGTCCCAGGGGCAGATGCCGAACATGCATCCTGGTCCAAGGTGGAGGGCAGCGTGGAACCTGAACCCAGGTCTCTTAGTGTCCAGGTCAGGCTTCCCCGTGGCTCCGTAGTACTGTGAGAAATGGGGACCCAGAGGTCTGTCACTCAGGCAGGGCCAGCTGGGCGAGAGGTTGGTGTCTTCCTGGCTGTGGTTTCCTCTGCTGTGTGTGTGACAGCGGCCACCTCCCTGCCCCTCTCTGAGCTGTTTCTCTGTCTGTGTCATCAGGCTTTCCTGGCCCCCAGAGCCTCTGAACTCAGTGTTTGTGCTGAGGCCCATAGGAATGGAATGAGGAATGGGGGACAGAAAGTGGGAGATGACAGGGCCTGCCCGGCCCTGCCCGGCCCTGCCCTGGACACTTCTGTGCTTAGGTCCTCCGGTGCCGCCGCATGCCTAGCCTGGTGCTTGGCTGAGGGAGAGGGAGCGGGAGAGGCCTGGCCCTTGTCCTCAGAGGTTTTCAGACCCTGATGGAGAGGGGATTGACAATTCCAGGTGACCCCTGCCTACTCATGGAGCAGGTGTTCAGAGGCAGACCCCAAGGCAGGGGTGGGCCCAGTGGGAAGGGGCCTTGAGGGGCTTGGCAGCTGGAGTAGGGGTGGGAGATCTCTTGGGGGAGGGTGGCCGAGAACCTGAGGTTCCTCTTGCCATAGGAAGCTGGGCAGTGGGGACCTGTCTTCTCCGACTTCCTGTCCTATGGCTCCTACCCTTCCCCTTTGGAGAAAGCTCCAGTAGCCCCTCATTGCTCTGTCTCATTATTCACCTGTTCCTCCTCTCCTCTCCTACCCCCCACCCCCAGGCTCTCAAGCCAGTGCTCAGTCCTGTCTGCTCTTGGCACCTTCTTCTGTCTGCCTTTGAAACGAGGGGTCAAGGTATCATCTCGGGAATCTTCAAGGGCCCTTTTTACTTGTAAAAGTCTGTGGGACTCAGGTCATGGGGAAGGCGGGGGCGAGGGCGAGGCCAGGTGTTTGGTCTTTCTACTGTGTCTTCACAACCCTCCTGTGGCATGGGCCTTACGCATCCAGAGAGAGAGTTAGGAGGGACAATGGATGGGACACGCTGGTTACAGGATAACCCTTTGCAATGTGCAAATTATGGCGTGTTATTCAGGTTGAGGTGTAGATGTGCAGCTCCCTTGGTGCCTTTTTGGGGACAAGGAACCCCGTGAATGGGAGTAGGGCAGGGGGAAGGGTGGGTCCCTCTAGTCAGTGTCTCCTGGGGCTAGAAGAGCCCCCAGCCACCAGGCTGGCTCTGTGCCCTCCATGCCCAGCTCCCCAGGCTCTGGCTTTTAAATTTTAACGAGCCTCAGCTCAGTTTCCAGTTGAAAGTCTTTAAAGTTTCAGGAGATAAGAGAAAGGAGGGAGTCCAAGAGACAGATGGGTCTTATTTCTTCCCCTGTGTCCCCACGCCTGGCTGGGCCACCTGGAGCCAGGGTTGAGGCGCCATGACCCCACGCATCTGGCACTCTTTGGGGATCTGGGGCCTTCCTGGGTCACTCTAGCCTGTTCCTGAGGGACCAGTGGCCACAGGCCTGGGCGCCAGGTTGCCAAGGACATAGGTATAGAAATGCTATTCCAGCCATGACCCCTGACCTGGGAAGATGTGCATGTTCCAGCAACAGGTGGGAGGAAAGCTGCTCAGACCAGGTGTCAGGCTTGAGGGGCCTCCCTTTATCTCTGGCATGCTTGGGCTGGCCTTGATACCATGGGGCCCCGGGAGCTTCCGAAACACAGGCAGTGGAAGAAAGTAGTGGGCCCAGAATTCAGTGGTGGTTCCCACGCCAAATGCAGGCTCCTCTCACCTGTCATTAAAGAGAGCCTGGGACAGGTGGCACTTGGCTCGGGGCAGCTGGAGCAGTTCTCTGGGGCCTCAGCCTAACTATTGCCTCCCTGCCTCTCA